AACATTTAAAAAAATGACAACATTCAAACAACAAACAATCAAGGAGAAGGAAACAAAGAGGAAATATTGCATAAAGGGTACCACTGCCAACTTAACACAAACGCATCCCAATGGGCCCGTTTGTGTGAATCGAGGAGAGGAGGTTGCAAACACAACTACGCTTCTTGATAGTGGTGGTGGTATCAACAAAAAATCGTTACTTCAAAATTTGCTTTCGAAGTGCAAAACAACGTTTCAACAATCATTCACCAATGCAAACATTACCTTGAAGGATGAAAAATGGTTAAAGAACGTAAGGACGGCATATTTTGTGTGTGATCATGATGGAAGTGTAGAGTTGGCCTATTTGCCAAATGTATTGCCGAAAGAATTAGTGGAGGAATTTACAGAAAAGTTTGAATCTATTCAAACTGGTAGGAAAAAGGATACTGGATATAGTGGAATTTTGGATAATAGTATGCCATTTAACTACGTTACTGCGGATCTTTCACAAGAGTTGGGACAGTATTTATCGGAAATTGTGAATCCACAGATCAATTATTACATTTCAAAGTTGTTGACGTGTGTTTCATCCAGAACGATCAACTACTTGGTATCATTGAATGATTCATACTATGCTCTAAATAATTGTTTATATCCCTCAACCGCCTTCAACTCGTTAAAACCAAGCAACGATGGTCACAGAATTAGAAAACCACATAAAGATAATCTTGATATCACTCCAAGTTCGTTGTTTTACTTTGGCAATTTTCAAAACACAGAAGGATATTTAGAATTGACTGATAAGAATTGCAAGGTGTTTGTTCAACCTGGAGACGTGCTATTCTTCAAAGGAAATGAATACAAGCATGTTGTTGCAAATATCACATCGGGATGGAGGATAGGATTGGTGTATTTTGCTCATAAAGGAAGCAAAACTAAACCGTATTATGAAGACACCCAAAAGAACTCCCTTAAAATACATAAAGAAACTAAATAAACTATTATTGCTTTTATTACGAATGACTTGTTGCTGAAGTATGATGATGCAACAGAGGCTCGATACTACAAAGTAAATTCAACAATAGCGCAAACGGCGTGAGTTTGTTCCGATTTTTTTCAACGGGTACA